AAAGCTCAGATAATATGAGGTCTGAATGGATCAGTGGTACAGTAACTAGAATCTGATCCAACAGATGCTTCATCAGCTCCTGCACAAGCCCAGATATCTGTCCTGCTCCCAGAGGATGAACACTTTAGGTTTCAACGACCTTCAAATGGACATAATGTCCATTTTTAGCCCTCTAACAAGTTCACCAGTTGAATCCCCAACATGTTGTCCAACAGCCTCTAAGGGACGATAACGAACTTTCTGGGTTACTTTGGGTCGTGGAGGTCATGTGAGCGTCTGTAGACAGAAAACTACGACTGAAGGTCAAAGATTTCCTCATTTTCTTCCCTTCAATCCTCATTTCCTCTGCTTCTTCCTGCATCACGCTGTAGGTGTGTTTATGTGGGTTTGATTATTCACCGAGTCGCGTCATGAGGCTCAATTTTAAGGGACACAAGCCAAGGCCTCGTAACGAAAGTCATCACCTGTCATAAAGAAACTTTGCTCAAGGTGAGGGTGAGGTGAGGAAGAGCAGATTTCCTCTGAAGTGGTGAAAACATCATGACTTGAGAAGTTCCTTTCCTCGATGCGCCGCCGCTGTGTGGGCGGAGCTGCTGTTATCTTTGGTACAAAGACGGCGGCAAAGAAACACAAAACGCACCAGCGCTCACACTAGACCGCACACTAACACACACACACACACACTAACACACACACACACACACACGATACTTGTGGGTGGAGCTTATCACTGCAATCACACTGGTCCGGCTGTTAGCGAAGGTTGAACCACGACCAGAAGATCCTTAAACTCATATAAAGCTCATTTCAAATCATCTCATTTTTAGAATAAAATTCACTCAGTCGGCTCTGAACATTTTGTAGCATGAAATACTGATGTTTATAAAGATATCTGTGGAATTTTAGCTTTTTAAAAATCTGCCGTCGACTCATTTTCAGCAGGTTGTTTTTTTTTTTTTAAATTTGAGGCCGTTTGAACGACAACATCTGAGGAACTATTAAAGATAAAAACCTGAAACTTTCTCTGTTATTTCTCATCATGTCACTGATCCAGAATCTGGACAGTAGATGAGATAATGTCTGATTATGGGGGAGATGGAATATGAAGGAAGATTTAAACATTTATGAAAAATTGCATTTTTGAGCTCATTAACAAAAAAAAAAGTATATTGCAGAAGTCAGCTGGTGATATTTTCTGAGTCATACAGATTTATAAAGACAGTCTGACTGAACACTGAGCTGCACTTTTGCTTTTAGAGTCTCAACCTATTCGTCCAACAGTTTCAGTGGGACGGATCCATGCACACAAGACCGGACCAGCGACCAAACCAGAAGAACCGAAGAGCTCAGCCCACACAGAGGGACGTCATTCTCTGCTCAGACGTCACTCCACCAGCATTTATTTACAGGTAGCTGTTTATTTTATTATCTGTTAAAATCTTGTGTGTCTTTAAATGATCCGGTTCTGTGGGCTGGAGGAGGACCGACGCTCTCTGAGTCGGGTCTGGTCTCATGTGAAGCACGTTTGGGGAGTTCTGTTCGTCAGCTGACCCAGGTTGGTCATGCATTCAAATTTAATTAAATCAACCTCAGATCATTTGAATGAGTTCTGTCTGGTCACAGCGACGGCTTCTGAGCGACGCTGCAGCAACAACACCAGCAACATGATGCCGGTTGTCCAAAGCAAACACGTTTTACCAAGAAAGTGGCGCCGAGACAAGTCTGAGTCAAACAAGAAGAAGAAACCCGGACGAAGCCGAGTTCAGACGAACTAACACTGACCAGCAAACGTCTAAACTTCAGTCCTCACATTCACAAACCCCCAGGAGACGAGTCCACGTCACAACATCCTCCGACCTGAGACACGAGTCGAAGTCTTTTCAGTGGAAACACGTCTGAAGCGACTCTGAGTGAAAACCACCCTCAAGGCCGAGACGAACTCGGTCACAATAAGCCCGAGACGAGCTGAAAGATCGAGTCAAAACACCCACGGGACGAGTCAAAGCCGAAGCCCTGACAGACCCGACACGAGGTCTGGAAAATCTAACGGCCAATCAGACCACAAGGAGACGAGCAGAAGACGAGATGACTCAGCAAAACGAGTCCGTCACCTGGACCTGGTGGCGGCGCTGTGGGCCTGTACAGACCACACGGCCACAACGAGTCCAGGCGAGTCTCTGACGAGCAAAGAACAAAAACTACAAGTCCTGCAGCCGTCCACATCTGTCCGTCCACATCTGTCCGTCCACCAGGGAGCTTCACCAGGACATAATTAAAAACAGCTGCGACGTGTTTGGGTTTTAAAAACGGAGACCAAGAGGGAAGCAAAGAGACGAGACGAGACGGAGGAGAGCAGAGAACACGTCCAAAGGTTTGGTTTTAAGTTTAAAGACCAAAAACAGAAACGTCTGTTCAGCGCTTCTCCTCAAAATATCATCTGACAGTTAAAACGACACAGAAAATGTTTAACTCTGGATTATTTATTCTACATCCTACTTCTATATTTCTACATTCTTTAAGTGTCAATAAAACTGGAGGCTCCACAAACTGAAGATTTTTAAATATTTCCATTTTTACAACTTCGACAAACTAATTTTGTGTCTCGTTTTTATCGTTTTGTGTCTATTTTGTTGTATTTTTGTTTATTTTTCTCTCATTTTGGTCAACGTTAAGTCACTGTGGAGGTAGTTTAGGTCGTTTTTCAGTTCATTCAAAGTTCTGAATCACAAAATAATCGACTTTTTTCCTTCGTTTTAAATCTTTTATGTCATTCTAACTGTGTAATACTGAGGTTAAAACATTTCTAAGAACAGTTCTGTGTCCGTCCTCGTGGTCGTTCTGGTTCTGTAGCGGTGCAGGACTTTGAGTAACTTAAATCTGAGTCTGTCTGGACAAGTTTCCAGTCATGTTTTGGCAAATTTAAAGGAGTTGTGGAGGCATTTTTTGGGGTCATTTTAAGTCATTTTGGCAGCGTTCTGGCCACTTTGGAGACATATTAATTAATTCTGGACAAATTTAAATTCATTTGGGACAATTTTAATGTCTTTAGAGTAAAGATAAAATCATTTAAGACATTCTAACTGTGTCATGACGTTACATTGCAGTAAAAAAAAAAGCTCTTTAATACTCATGACACTGAGCTGCTTCTTTAACTTCTATTTCTTAGTTATATTTTTAGAGTTATTTATTCATATTTATAGATATTATTTGTATTTGCTCTCTACTGGGACAGCAGGATTTTGTTTTTTTATGTTTGCAAATACACAAAAAGACAATAAATTAATTGTGAATCTTGAAAAACAAGCAAAAAGTGAATTAAAATAAGATGAAAACTGCAGCTGAGTGTGAACAAAGCAGAAAGATTTCTTCATTGATTATTAATCGATTACAGGCTCCGACACAGTAAATATAAAAACCACAAAGTCGAGATAACTTCATGTCTAAACGCCCAGAAACACCCAGAACCTCTTCCTGTTACACTCTGACCGGGCCGCAGCCTCGGACTGAACCTGGAGCTGCAGCTCCTGCGTCGACCTGCTGACCTCCGACCTCGCTAATCCGCTAATCTGCTCAGCTAAGCCCCGCCCCCCCCTCCGTCAGGTGCAGGCCTCACCTTGGCCAGGCTCAGAGGATCGTGCCTGAACCTCTGCTTGTTCTTCTGCAGCTTCCCCGGCATCATCTTGCCGGTGCGGAAGTCGAAGCAGGCCAGGTCCACCGTGTTGCCGAGGTAACGGGCCAGCTGGGGTTTGCTGCGGAACTTCTTCCCCGAAGGACTGAAAGGAAACGAAGCAAAGATGTGATTAGAGGTCACGACCTGCAGGAGTCCAAATGACAGCTGGGACGTTTAGTAAACACTTTTATTTTAAATCACTGTAAACATCCCAGAAACTATTAAAGACAAAAACCAGAAACGTTGTCGTCACGTCGCTGATTCAGGATCTGCTGAAGTCCAAACATGTGGTGACTTCATGTTTCTGTTTCTGTTTGGGCCTCTTTTGTTGTCAGTTATGGCTTTTTAACAGTCATTTGTTTTAAAAAATGAAATAAAACAGACAAAAAGCAGTGTTTTGTCTTTTTTTTGTCAGTTTGTGTCTCTTTGTTGTCATTTTGTGTATTTTTGTGTTGGTTTTGCATCTTTTTGTGGTTATTGTGTGTCCCTTTGTTGTTGTTTTTCATCTTTATAGTCTTTTCTGTCATTCTGTGGTTGTTTTTAGGTTCCCTGTGGTCATTTTATCTCTTTTTTTTATCATTATATGTCTCTTTGTGGTCATTTTGTGTATTTTTGTGTTGGTTTTGCATCTTTTTGTGGTTGTTGTGTGTTTCTTTGTTGTTGTTTTTTCATCTTTATCGTCTTTTCTGTCATTCTGTGGTTGTTTTATCTCTTTTTTTTAATCATTGTGCGTCTCTTTGTGATGGCGTTTCATCTGTTGTGGTTATTGTGTGTCTCTTTATTGTTGTTTTATGTCTTTTTGTGTTCATTTTTGTGAATGTTTTGTGTCTTTTCTGTCATTTTGTGGTTGTTTTTAGGTTCCCTGTGGTCATTTTATTTATTTATTTTATCATTATAAGTCTCTTTGTGGTTGTTTATATTCCTTTAGAGATGATTTTGTGTCTCTTTGCAGTCGTTTTGTCTCTTTATGGTTATTGTGTCCCTTTGTGGTTTTTTTGTGTCTCTTTGTGGATGTTTAATGTCTTTTTTTGTCATTCTGTGGTTGTTTTTAGGCTCCCTGTGGTCATTTTATATCTCTTATTTTTATCATTGTGTGTCTCTTTGTGGTGGCTTTGTGGTTGTTTTGTGTTTCCTTGTCGTTCTTTTGTGTCTTTTCGTGGTTATTGTGTGTCTCTTTGTGGATGTTTGATGTCTTTTCGTCATTCTGTGGTTGTTTTTAGGCTCCCTGTGGTCACATTGCGTCTCCTTTTTGTCACTTTGTGCCTCCTTGTGATCACTTTTTATCCCTTTGTCGTCCTTTTTGATGCCTCTGTGGTGGTTTTGTCCGTTTGTGGTCACTCTGTGGTGGTTCTGTGTTTGCCTCTCGTCTCTCTCTGGTCATTTCACGCCTCTGTTCTGTCCCGTTGTGCGTCCTCGTGGTCCACGCCGAGGCCTCCATGTCTCCGGCGGCGGCGGCGGCGCTGATCCCCTGATCCCCGGCTGAGGAGGCGCAGCGGCAGCCCCGGCTGGGTGGAGCTGCTCTTCCAGTAAGCTGACCTGCTGCTGCCGGCTGGTTTCTTTCCTGGAACTGATGAGTCACGTTCTCACAGCGAACTGAAAGTAAACCTTCGAGCTGCGAGGACGTGACGCGTCCGAGAGCCGCTGCACGTCGAACAGGAAGCGAATCAGACGAGGCGACGCCCTGCAGCTCGGCTCTGATGCAGCAGGAAGGAATATAAAAGGTTGAGCTTTAATCTGGAGCGTTTTACAGCAGCAGCAGGGACTCAGGCTGAGCTGCTGCTTCCTGGTCCTCAATGATCTGATGGAGCTTTTAGGAGTAAAACTATTAACAATAAAGCGTCTGCAGCTGATTCACGACTGGTGTTTGTTTTTATATTTGGCTAAATAAACGATACTGATGAAGAAGTTTGATTAAAGGTCAGATCTTTGGTTCACGTGAACATTTCTGCCTCATTTACTCCAAACATGACGTCTGTTGGTGGAGCAGCGAATAGATTTAACGTTTAGGTTTCAATCTTTAACATTTGCTCCGGCGGAGATAAGCTCCGGTGAAACCAGGAAGTGCCGACGCCACAGATGTTGTAGTTTCATGGTGGGACTTGTAGTTTTTTTTGTTCGCTCACAAAGTTGTTTAAAGTTTATGAGTTTCTCCTGGAAGAGTTGGAAAAAGTTTCATCTGCTCACAAAGACTGAAGGCAGAGAAGCTAAATGAGCGACGTTTTATCTGCAAGTTTGCTTTTCTCTGTAGTTTGTGTCGTGTTTTATGATCAGGTGCAATATTTCATCATCAGGTGTGACGTTACTTTACTCTGTCAGCATTACTGCCAGCGTTACGTCTTCATTCTCTATTATTGTAGTAACTTGTCTTTATTATAAGTAACATACTTGAGTTTTTGGGGGATTTTAAGTAATTTTTTTGGCCTTTCGTGCCTTTGTTTGATAGACCAGTGGAGAAGGGGGACAGGAGAAGCTGCCACGTTGTGTCGGGGTGAACACGCGACGCCAGCTCAACCAGCTGAGCTACCGCGGCGCCCCTGGACTTGACTTTTATTGAATTTTATTGAATTTTAATTTGGGATTAAACACGTTAACCTCACGACACTGTAAAAAGAAATCTGTAAATAAATAAAAATGAAACTCCTGCAGCAAGTTGGCCACAAAAAAGAAGCTTAGAAACAGTAGAAAACTGTAAAAACAGAAAAAATAACAGCAATAAATTAAATTAACTTTAAATTACAATAATATTTATCCAGTCCAACAGCGACGTTTCACGGTTACATGTTGTGAAAGATTATTTACTGATTATTTTGTGTTTTTATAAAGTGTTTTTAATTATAGTTTTGGCCTGTTTTTTAATTTTTATTTTTAACTCCACATTTAAATGAAAACTTTTTCTGTAATTTAACAAAATGAGGAAAACTACAGTTAAAAGAATTAGGTTTTTCTGTTTTTATAGTTTGTTTTATTTCACAGTTTTTTCTGCATTTATAAATTTAAAAAATAATAATAAAATTACAAAAATAGACGAATTTAAATGTCTAACATAAAAACAAAATTTGAAAAATAAAGTTTGACGAACGACATCAGATTTCTAAGTCGAGCTACGAGTAACAACACATAAATAAAGTTTGTGTTTGATACTCAGCGGCTGACGTGGAGCTAAAACGACAGATTTCAGCTGTTTGATGAGTCACAACTTTAATCAAATCAAAACTACAGTTACAGTCAGTTCTGACCCGCCAAAATAAGAGCTGCAGATATTTAAACCTGACTAATCTGGACTGTGTTGCTGCTCTTCAGCGTCTCGTAGCAGCAACGCCGGCTGCTCTGGAGACAAACTAAAAAGCTGTGAAGCAGAACGAAGTCCTCGGCGAGCAGCTCGTGGACGACGAAGCTTCGTTGGTTAGAAACTTGTGGTCGACGTTTCCCAGAATCGGCTGGCAGACGTGAAGCTTCACGAACTTTACCAGAGCTTCTAAACGCCATCATGAATATCTGTAACGTCCTGCAACGGGCTCACGACTCTGTGGTCGTATTATTCAGTCAGAACGATGTTGTAGAAACGTTACGACATAAAACGTGTAGAAAGCAGCGAGTGGAGGCCTTGAAGAGAGGAGAGATAAAACTGTCCTCAGCTAGAACCACGACTTTATCTGCAGATATGTGAAGAAAAATCATGAAAAGTTCCATGTTGGAGCTCAAATGAAGTCAGACAGAGATGTTTTCTGAACCTCATGTAGCTGCAGGTCACAATAATACTAAACTAAACACGTAGGATGGTTTAAATGTCAAATATTTGGTCAGAAAAATGAACATAAAGTGAATCCAGTTGAACTTTTATAACTGATTGAGCAGGTCGGACGAGTTGAACCACGACTTGTGTGAATATGTTGGATTAAAATGAACAATAATCTCAGTTGTTATTTATTCTAATCCGACATATTCAAGCACACAACTCGTCCGACCTGCTCAATCGGTTATAAAAGTTCAGTTTAATTAACTTTATGTTCATTTTTCTGACTCAGTGTTTCACATTAAAACTATTCTACGTATTTAGTTTTGTATTATTGTGACCTGCAGCTACATGAGGTTCAGAAAACATCCCTGTCTGACTTCATTTGAGCTCAAACATGGAACTTTTCATGACTTTTCCCCATCATTCATCTCCCCCATAACCACAGATTATTGATCTACTGTCCGATATCACAGGTTCTGGATCGGTGACATGATGAGAAACAACAGAGAACGTTCTGGGTTTGTATCTCTAATAGTTCCTCAGATGTTGTCGATCAAACAGAATCAGATTCTAACCTGCTGAAGTGGGTTGACGGTGATTATTAATCAACTCATCTGATTAAATATTGAACACGTGAAGCTGAAGTTGTTCTTAATAAACGTTCATATTTCACTATAATAAAGTTTGAGTAGACCAGAGGAGGCTTTGGCTTCCAGAGGGAACGTTTTCACTGTTTTTACCATCTCCAGGCTCCAGTGAACCCTTTATATAACCACATCCTTACATAAGCCAATCACTGATCGATTATCGGCCGCTGATCGATCGCTACCTGTAGTAGTAGACGTCGCTCTTCCCGGCGCTCAGCCCGGACTTCCTGATCACTTCCTCCTTCTTCCAGCCGGGCGGCAGAGCGGGGCAGTCCGCCCGCTTCCTCTCCATCCTCGGGCGGCCTCCGGGCGGGTGGAGCGGTCGGCGGCTCGGCGGAGCTCCGGTCCGGAGCCTCGGACTCTCGGCGTGGCGGCGGCGGAGCGGCGGCCGGGCGGACCCACGTCACGGCGGGTAGCGGCGGCTCTCCCTCCGCCCTGCTGCTGCTGCTGCTGCCGCTGCCGCTACCGCCGCTGCTGCTGCTGCTGCTCCGCTCGGTTCGGGTCCCCGCGGCGCCGGTTCGGCCTGTCCCGGTCCGGCTGCCTCCGGCTCCGCTCTGGTGTCGGTTGGTCTCCGGAGAACCAAACCGCTGATCCGATCCGGTCCGATCCGAGCTGAACTGAACCAACGGCAGCTGTGACGTCTGAGATATCACACACACACACACACACACACACACACACACACACACACACAGAGGCCCGCACACACACGGGCTCGCACACACGCACGCACACGCACACACACAGGCGCGCACGTAACCTGTCAGAGGTGGTCTGTTGGTGAAGATGTTCACTCGGTTCTATAAACGGTTCAACGGTTTAGATCCAACAATGTTTTCAGGACGTTTATAATCACAGAGAAAGAATAAAGACTGACACTGACTAACTGGTGAAAGTAGACTGAAGTTATTGTGAACTATTAATGAGTTTATACTGAATTTGTCATCTTATGGCGACCGTATAATGAGTTTATAGTGAATTTATAGTGAACTTATTGGTTTCTTTAAAGCTATAGTGAATTTAGAGTGAATTGTAGTGCATTTTTCAGGTTTAGGTGAATTTATAGTGAACTTTTAGTGAGTTTATAGTAAATTTATCTTATTATAGTGAACTTACAGTGAGTTTATGGTGAGTTTATGGTGAATTTTCCATGTTTTAGTGAATTTATAGGGAATATATATTGAATTTGCGAACTTATAATAAGTTTATAGTGAATTTATGGTGAACTTTTAGTGAGTTCATACTGATTTTGTCATTTTATAGTGAACTTATAGTGACTTTATAATAAATTTAGAGTGACTTTTAGTGAATTTATAGTGAACGTGTTGAATTTTTTATTTTTTTTTTACTTTTAGTGAATTTGTCGTGACTTTATGAACTCATATTGAACCTAAAGTGCTTTTATACTGTGAACTAATAATGAACTTTAGTCTGTTTATGAACTTATTGTGACTTCATAGTGATTTCTTAATTCACTAATATGTTATTATTTCATTTTCATGTGCAGCATTGTGGTTAAATGTGCAGCGTTTCACTTTCATGTACAACAATGTCAGTGTTTTGTGCAATATTTCATTTTCATGCCTGAAATCACTTATTGTGGATTATGTTGTGTTGAAACGAGACGCTGCTTTTGTCGGTTCCAAAGATAAAAATGTTTTTGAGGATCACAAACTGCACTCTGTGTTAAAACTAATCATATTTCTACTCTGAGTCAAACATAATTTCTCTTCATCATGTTATCAGACAGCTTACTCCAGTCATGATTTAAGCTAATAATAATGATATGAACAGTTTTCTCTATGTCTAGTTTTGTATTATTGTGACCTGCAGCTACACCAGCTGACTTCTGCCCTGTCAGTCTGACTCCATGTGGTTCTGGTCCCTGGTTTTCGGGGCGGAGTGATTCCTCTGTGCTGGACTCGTTAACGTCTCTGAGTTCAGTCTGTCGTCACCGTCTGCACATTTAAAGGGGCAGCAGCACTGAACGCAGGAGCAGTTTATTGTCGGCCAACACTGGACTTTACACATGGCTTCTGGGAAACAAGTGAAACCGAAGATGTTTCCCAGCTGCACCACTGGGTCTGCCCATCCTGCACCTGCATTTACTACCAGCCAAATTAAATATTCAGTATTTTACCCAAGCAAATGAAACCACTACCAAAACCCCGCTTACAAAATGGCCTATTTAAGGTTTGCGTGCTTTTTGAGGGTACATTTAAACTATAATACAACAATATCTAAACATTTTCCAATCTGGGAGAGTGCATTCTTGAATTCGGCGTGGGTCTCATACAACAGTTATTATGTATTTTAATGCAATTTTAACTTTACCTTCGGTTTCACGCATGAATAGCTAGCGCCTGCTCCGCTCAGTCGCCGGAATACGCCACAGAGGGCGGAAGTTAAAGCGTCAGTCTGTTGGGAAAATATATACGCCGAAAGTTCCTCAAGATTGTTTAAGATGTTAAAATATGTGAAAGTTCATGACACGATATTTGCATGTCTCTGGGTGATCATGGATGGGATTAATTGCCCGATTTTTTGAACGGAGTTTGGTTGCTACGACTCCGGGCTAAACTGATTCCAGACCAGCTAAGTGTAGCTAGCTTTACCCGGGAGCCTTGAATGTTGAGCTCGGAGCAGCAGTTGGTGGATGCGGAGAGCTGGACACGGATTAAACCGAAAAGAAGTGAAAATGTAAACGTTTTATTTAGTTTTGATTAAGATTCACGGGTTTATTTAGCAGCTGCTGCTTCCGGAGCGCGTGTTAGAGCCGGACGGAGCTAAACTGACTTTTAACGTCTGAGTTTGAATAAAGTGAAGTTTAGAGATTTTTCCTCAACGGTTTTAAAACGTATTATTAACATTCAGTAAATACACCAAACTGCTGGTATGTAAGATTCTCGTAGTGGTTTAATGTGTTTATCCTGTTTTAGTTTTGTTTGCTTTGTGTTTTGCTTTGTTTATATTTTAGCCAGCTAGCTGCTAGCCAGGCTAAAGCTAAGTTAGCAAACAAACAGTTTTCTAGCATTCAAACAATTTAAACTCAAAACTAACAGGTTTCTCTTAAATATAAAGATGAATAAATATCACTGAACTCACTGACAGATATTTCAAAAGGTTGTCCGCTCATTGGTAGCTATCCAACACCAGTGTTTATGTGAATTTAAACCCAATAATATATAAATTCTGCTTTTCTGCCGTTAGCTTGTCGGGCTACTCTGGTTTATTAGACTGTCTGAGCTGTTTAAAGTGTTTGTGTAGGATACATACAATGCAAAACCCACCAGAAACACACACAGAGTCACTATAACAACCTCAAACATCAATAAACCTTTGATTTCCCTGCACAGACTCATCCACAGTGAACATTTTACACCTTCTTAGTGTGATTTAGTGACTCGTACCTGTTGTTTCTGACAGGATGGAGTTCATGCTGGATGACTTTCTGTCTCCGGAGTCGACCGTCACCTCCCTGCTGTCGAGCTCAGGCCACCTGAGGAGCAGCCTGAGGCCTCCTGAGCACAACACCACCGTCAGATACAGAGACAAGGTACAGGGTCGCCTTCTGCAATCTGGGTGTTTGTACCCGACACGGCTTCATTCAGGCTCCACAGTATGCAAGAGATATTAGACAGCACAGTAGGTGGTGTATGATGTATAGTAATGCAACAACAGACTGATTCTCATCTAGTGTAAAAGCTTCAAGACTCAACGTGAGGACGACCAGGATTTAACAAAAATCAACCAGCAGCTGATAAACTGTGACTAAAGATCCTGGTCCATCCTGTCTCCATGTCAGAGATAACTTTTAATTATCAGTTACTGCGGTTTAAATCTGTGCATATATCTGTGAAGTTTTCTGTCTTATAAATAATTTTAAACAGCTGGAGGCAACAAACTCCAGCATCTGTTAACGTCTTGTGGGGATAAAAACGACTCTGATCACATTCATTATTGGTTAGTGTCTATTTTCATCACAGTAAAGTTTAATATTATGGACATTTTATTTTGTAGCCTAATAGATTTGAAACTATAGGGTGATAAAGGTGTGATTTCGGCACACAGGCTGTGCATTAAGCGCTCTTTGTGAGGTTTTTCGACAAATATTGATGCTGAAATGTGGAAAAGTCTTCCCTAAATCACTTCACACAACTTAAAGCACTCCTGCTTGTGTGTTGAAAGTGGTTCACGTCATTCGTTCTGCTGTTTGAACACTGATGATGTGTTTTTAAAGACCGCTGTGGAAGCTGGATTCTCTCAGACCTTAAACTGAAGTCCTCCGTTGGGTTTACCGTAAACAAAACCTGATCCTGTTGATCAGAGACGGCTAAACTCTAAACACCCTCCCTGTTTGATTACAGAACTACGATTCGGCCTCGGCGGCCCTGGACGCCTACATTTCAGACTTCGAGAGGAGTCGACACGGCAGCGAGGCTTTGACGGGGACGCTGGTCCTGCAGCCGAAGCTGCCGTCCACGCCGAGGAGAGCCCGACTGGGCATGCTCAGAAACAAAGATGGTATTTAATTCATACACGAACACGGTCCGGTGAACGTGTTAACCCTCATAAAAACATCCCACACGTTTTATTAGTTCATCATATTTTAATATAATCTACTGTCAGTTTGTCTGTCCTGTTGTCCTCACATGTTGTTGTTGTTGTTGCTTTTCTTACCCATAGTTCTCAGGGAGCGACTGACTGACCAGGAGCTGGACTTCCTCAACCTCCCTGTCAGCTCCCTGCGTCACCGTAGCAACCGGGACAGGGTCTCCATGACGACGGACGAGCTGCTGTCCATCCC